CAAAATACAAAATCGAGCACCGTCCAAGCATTACCATCGAAATTCATAAGAACATAAAACGTGAGCAGCACGAAACACGAACTACTGCACACCGTGTGAAAGGGAAAGAGTAGAGTAGAACAAGAGACACACATTGAACACAATAGAAAACTTAAAAGCTCCTTTTTACCTGTACACATTTTCAAAATGGCGTAAATGTTCCACAAGTTTTTAAGGCACTCGGTTAGATTCAGTTAAGTTTTGAGTAATTTAACAAAGAAATTAGTTATTATAATTAGTTGGCAAAACACATCGTGGAAGCACTTCCTGTGGCTCCATTTTGTTATCCTTTTTAGCTGCACACACTTTTGTAAACAGGCACATTTTGGCTTTATAATTTCGTGGGATTTCCCTCTAAGCTTTGACAGCGCTGGAGTTCATCTTCTCTAGAATTGGCACAACCATATCGAACTTGGGTCGCTTGCCCGGATCCTCGTTCATACAGATTGATATCAGCTTCGCCATGTGTGACGAAGTACCTGGCGGAATTTTCACACGCAATCCTTCCAATGCAATCTTCATGCCACACTCCATGGGAGACCATTCGGCGAAAGGCACCTCGCGAGTGGTCAGCTCCCAAATAACCAGCGCAAAGCTCCACATATCGGACGCCTCCCAGTTGCGATCGGCTGGCTTACGTTGGAGCGCCTCCGGCGACATCCAAGCGGGCTGATAGATTCGACCCTTCTCTTGGAACGAAAACTTGGCATCGCCCATGTTAATGCGTGCCGTCAAATCATCGTCGATCATCACGTGATGACTGTTCAGATGATATGTGGGTATTATACGCTCCAGCGAGTGCAAATAGGCCATGCCACGTGCGATGTCCAAGGCGAATCTCACGGCCTGGCTGGTGTCCACGACAACGCCCGATGCGCCATGCAGCAAATTGAAAAGCGATGAACGTGGCATGAACTGGAAAGGAGAGTGCCATTATATGGAACTGAATAATGTGCTACTCGAAACAACATACCTGACTGATTACCACTAGCCTAGGTGGCGAATTGCAGGCGCCGATGATGGGCAAAATATTGGGATGCGAGAAAATGCGCAGCTTGGGAAACTCCTCATTAAAGTCACGCGAAATGCGTGAAGTGCATTGACGCAATGCGAGAATCTGTTAATCATACACAGTTTAATTAAAGATCAATGACATTCAGCATTTAGTTTCTACCCACCTTGGCTACAACATCGTTCTTTTGCCAACGACCACGCCACGTTTCGCCAGAGGGTGTCACTGCAATCTTTGTGTGCAAGTCCAAGTCGCCCATGCTGATGCCCTTAAAGCGCGATAGAGTAGCATCGCGTGAGCGCGTCTTCATGCCCATCCAGCTCTGCTCCTTGAAGCTGATGATCTTCAGCTCCTGGCCGCTCTTCTCGGCCAGATCTTGTATACGCTTGCCCAAACTAGGCTTGGCCTTGTCTATAGCTGTGTGACCGTCCTTGTTGGCAATGCTGACTAGAGCGCCCGCGTTCAACAGATCCTCGCAGATCATGTCATAGCCCCAGAAGCAGGCATAATGCAGTGGAGTATTTCCATGCTCATTCACAGCATTGACATCCGAGCGCTCGCGCAGTAACTACATCAAAATGAGAGTCAATCTATCAACATAATATTATAGGGTATTTAAGAACTCACCATTTGCACCACTTCACGATGTCCGTGGGCGGCGGCCAGATGCAGGGGAATGTCATCGCCCATGTTCGTGGCATTTACACGAGCGCCGCGCTGCAGCAGAGTCTCCACGAGCTTCGCATGCCCCTCCTTAGCAACCCAATGCAGTGGACTAAAGCCGTGATCATCGCTGCAAAAACAAATATGTAGGGAGAGAGTGAGAGCAGAGTATGAGAAGAGCAAGAGCGAGAGCGGCAGAGGCAGAGCATGAGAGTGACGCACTTATATACACACACGCACACATTTCCTTTCATTGTGTGTGTGCAACTTGTTTACACAACACAAGAATAAATCATGACGTCACGCTCCAATTGGTTGGCGACTGTTGCCCAATATGGCAATTTGCAAGCATTTTTTACAATTTATGCACTAGTCATCATATTTTATGTTCAGTTTGTTAAATTTGCACTAATCTTAAACACTTTTAACTCGCTTTTACCCCAAATTCATGTCATGCTCGGTCTCATCCAGCCAAAGGCGCACTTGAATGGAGTTGCCCTCGCGGCACCAGTGAAAAATATCCTCCATAGTTGCACTACAAATGTATATTCTATGCTTTAATAATGTTTGGAACACAATTTGCACTTTATTTACATTTAGAAACGTTTAAAAAGCGTAAAATTGCAGCAGTTGTTGCTCTGGCTCTATTGTTGTGCTGCTGGCTGGTCACATAGTTTTCATGCAACGATAACATTCTGGCAACAAACAATTTCTATCGATATTCTGCACAATGTGACCTGCAAGCGGCAAAAAACAGCTGATGTGCACGCGTTGTGCAGTGAATGCTTAAAACGTGCGTTTTTGTATATATTTAAACTGTAAAGCATTTATTCATATTTCTTAAAAGTATTAAAACCACACTATGAAACTAAGCACATATAATTTTTTGACTTCGATGGCCATCAAGGGCGTCAAGGTGGGCTATCCCCTGAAGCTAACGGTAAGTTGTTGAATTGCCTACTATTGATTGTTTCACGAGCTTTAATATTTTGCACAGATTAATAAAAAGGATGTAATTGAAAGCGAATTCAATCCGGTATTTATACAGCGGTTGCTACCTAAACTGGATTGGTCAGCGGTTTATAGCGCCGCACAGGTGGTGAGTGGGGAATGCATTTACAATCTCTTGAGTGAAATTCCTTTACGAAGCTACGAATTCTCTTCTAGGCGGAGCTAGCAGACGACATACCAGCAGCGCAGCCCGACAATGTGGCAGAGGACGAACAGCTGTTACAGCGCCTGCATCATCTACTCTTCGAAATCGATGTGCTCGAGGGACAGCTGGAATGCCCCGAAACGGGACGCGTGTTTCCAATAACCGATGGAATACCCAATATGCTGCTAAACGAGGATGAAGTTTAGCTCAATGCAAATAGAAATAAATAAAAATATAATTCATAATAAAAGTCAATGTAATAAGTAATACAAAGTTTATATATAAATATAAAAGTAAATAAATAATTTTAAAAATATATTTACATATAGTATATAAAAAAAATAAATATTAACAATAATAAAGCCATTTTAAGTTAGTTTTTAAATATCCTTTTATAGTATATTTTAAGCTGCAAAAAGTTTTCAATACGAACACCAAAAAATAATCAATTGGATTTGTGGATGGAATTTGTAAGTGCATGGAAAAGACATATGTATGTATGATCTATATATAAATGGATTATAAATCGCGTATATAGGGAACACATCGGGAGCAAATTGTAGTTGAAGTCAAGTTCGAGAGCTTCTTGGTTAATTTTTGGCACGTGAAGAATCTCTGCCAGGCGAATTCTAGTTGCATTTGATGTTGGCGCCTTTGCTGCGCGCATAGATGCTCCCTTTGCTCAGCTCCTTATTGGGGCCCTTGCAGAGCTCCGCGTTTCGACCAACTGCCTTGTAGCCACGTTCTCCGCCTATAAGGCCAGCATCTGGCCCCTGTGGTGTTTGCTTCTGACAGAGCGTAGTGTTTGGTCCATTCCAAGTGACGTAGTCGGCGCTATTAAATCGAAAATAATATTGATAAATGATGTTTAATTTATAGATATCTGGAAGACTTACAGCAAGAGATTCTCATCGGCTCCCTTGGCTAGCTGTGGATTGGCTCCCAGCGTTGCCATTCGTTCGATTAGCGATTGAAATTCACCCGATTCCAAATGTTGTCCATTGTCCAGCTGGGAGGAATGCTGTCGTTGTCTGCGAGAGACGAAAAAGAAATTAAAGCATAAAGCTTAAAGTACAATTTTAATATAGATGAAAAATTAGCGAACTGACTAAAAATTATATTAATTAAACTGTAAATTTATCTTTATAAATTATAATTTTATAGTTTAGTTTTTGTTAGAAATTAATTTAAATTACACTTTATTTTTTAATAAAATAAATATATATAATATTAATATTTGTCTTCTTCGATTTAATTGATTATTTTTATATATTATTCTTTTTTTTAATAGCTAATAGTTAATTTTTATAAAATAGTAAATTTTTTAAAATTTAATTTTATTTAAATAATTTTTTTTTTAATTCTGTTTAATATTTAAATAAATTATCTACGAATGTCACCTTCAGTTCGCATATTTTTCATACCAACCTCGCATACACACATATGGGTATTGAGTAAATGAATTCTAACATACCAAAAGAAAAAAAAAAAACAAACAAGGAACTAGAGTTGAATAAAAGTTAAATCAATAAACATGCAGTAAGGCTAGCTAAGAATAAACATGCAAAACTGTACAAAGTTAACGGCTAACGGTTAAACGGGCAGGCATACTTCAGTGAATCGGTTTTGGTGCGCGCGCGACTTTCGAATGCCTTCACTATGGAGCTGGCCGAAACAGAGGAAGATCCCATCGATGTGCTATACGAGGCATAGCTGCTGATGCTGTTGTTGTTGTTGGTGTTGTTGCCACTACTAATGTTGTTGTTGTTGTAGCAACTGGAACGCGCCAGCATGCTCTTGGTGGTCAAACGTTCATAGTTGGGACGCGTGGGCGAGTGTGGAGGCGAGGCATATGAGTGCGTGGATGCACTGGAAATGCTGGAAGCAGACATAGTCTGGGGCTGCTTCAGCTGGCTGGCAGGCTCCGGCTCCGGCTCCGACTGGAAGGCAGCTTCGTTTGGCACCTGCTCCGGCGTTTGCTCATGGCTCAGGATGATCTGTGTGGTGGCCGTGGAGGGTGTGATGACATTGATGGATGGCAAATGGCGATGTTGCTTATGTGGCTTGCTGCTGCTCATTGATGATGATGCAGACAATGACAATGACGATGACGATGACGATGATGATGTTGGTGTTGATGGCGATGTAGTGGGGGCGTGGCAGCAAGCAAGCAAAGGTGTTTATTTGTTTGTTTGTTGTTGGTGGTTGAGGCAGCAACAAAGTTTTACAAAGAAAATGGGCAATCGATTAACAAAACGAATAAAGCAGCAGCAGCAGCAGCAGCAGCGGCAGTAAAGGCAGACCCAAGGGTTTGGATAGGTGTCTATATAGCTATATATATATGTGTGTGTGTATATAGCAACATCTAGCTGTTACGCACCTCTGTGTGGCATCCACTTGATCCACCTTCAGCTTCATTTCACTTGCAGCAGGCTGAGATTTGCTCAGCGTTTGCTTCTGGTTGCGTTGCTCATCCTCATCCTGCACGATTTGCAGGATTTGCGTGGCCCGATCCTCAGCATAGTTCACCGACTCCAGGGCCATCAAAATGATGCGCTCAGCTATGTGTGGATACTTCAGCTTGAGCTGTGACTCCACTGGAAGGGGGATACAATAGAGTGAGTTGAGTTGGAAGCAGGAGAAGCACTAACTAACGGCACTCACTCTCTGCCTTCTGCTCGGCTGTGTACTCCTTGGGCCGCAACGGTATATACTGCACCGCCTGCTCCTGGCCCGCTTGCTGCTCCGACTCCAGCTGCGGCGGTCGATTGTTGGGTCTGTGTGGCTGCTGCATGTCCCGCTTGACATAGCCCAGCGAGATCAGCTTCTCCGAGGCGAACTGCACATTGTTGTCCGCATTGGCCAGGATGTCCAGCAGCAACATCTCATCCGCCTTGGGGAATATGTTCTTCATGTATCTGAAGCGGGCGAAATTTATATTACTCAAAGTGAATATTTAGCTCTATATGAGTTTTGGAATAAAAATAAATATATTTAAAATGTAATTATAAGAGAACGAGCAATACGAAATAGAGCAAATATTTATAGAATTTTAAGCTTTAGTAAAGCTAAGTAAAGCGATAGAAAATATACATACATATATAATAAATAAATAAAATAATAAATATTAACTTAAAGCTCAGATTCCCATTCAAATAAACTCGTTCCATTTTCCCTTGGCTAATTACAACAGTTGAATAAACGGGGCCTCGTTGAGCTCCCTTTAGCCATTAGCTAATTGCATTTGGCATTGGCATGCAATTAGGGCTCAATCTCTGGCCAAATCGCACCTCAATTTCATTTTGGGCGAGGAGTGGGGCTTCGGTGAGCTGCGCCATTGCGGCGAGCCATGCAGGCCCACAGCCCCCACTCCGACTCCGGCTCCGGCTCCAACTCCAGCCGGTCCCGCTGCTCCTGTGGGCTGGTGTCCGCTTTGCATGCTCATGAGACTACCGAAGCGGCCGCCGGGCAGGGGACTGGCCGTGCGTGATGTAACTGTTGCCCGACTAGCGCCCATGTCCAGGCGGCGCGCCGGTGGTGTCATATAGAAAGCGGAATTGCTGTGGAACAAGTGACGCTGGGCGGGAGGCGTGACAAATGGACCAGGCATGGTAACGGGATGCTTTTCCACCTGCAAAGCGCTGATGACGACAGCCTCGCGATTATAATAGCTGACGTTAGTAAGCGAGAGTATAAGAGAGAAAGAGAAAGAGAGAGGGGGAGGGGGAAATAGTGTGAGTGTGTGTGGGTGCATTAAGCAGCAGCGTGTGAGAAGACATAAATACACATGAACATATGCATAGATTAGCAAGGAATTACTTTAGCTATAATAATATAAATTTGTATATTGTATATATTATATATATATATACTATAAATATGCCTTACCGTTTCAGCAATAGCCGTATGTGATTCTCATCGGCTGTGGGAAACATATTCTGTATCTTGGTGACCACGGCCTGCGTGTCGCTGAACGAGGTCTCCTGAATGGTGGAACGACGCGACATGTTGGAGGGCAAGCGGGCACGCTGCACAGGCAGGGGCGAAGAGAGCTCCTGTCACAGAGATAAAAGACAACACAGAAAGCTATAGAAAGTGCTCGCATTTAATCGTTCAGCTAACGCCCACCAGTTGTCCACGCGAGGAGGCGGAGAGCAACGGACTCGACGACAGATTGTGTAAGGCGCGCTCCTGGAAGGCACGCACGGCGGTTAGATTGTTGCTGGGATGCACCACATGGAAGGGTGAGCTGTGATGGGAGTGCGGCGCCAGGGGCTACAAATGAAAAAATGAGTGGATAAAAGGAGAAACCAAATAATGCAAAACAATACAAAATTGCATAAAACATTTCATGTGACAGCTAGAAGTATGCAATGAATTTTACAACTTTTGTGCAGCGCGCAAAAGTATGCTATAAAAACTTTATAGCTTTCGAATACATTCTCAAAATGCAATTGAATGAGCTCACCTGCAGCGCTATGGACTCTGTGGAGCAGCGTTCATTTTGCAACTGTTTGTAGCTGCTGCGTCCAGCGCGTGGATCCTCCAGCTGCATAGCCTTGGTCAGATAGTTTATGTAATAGCTGCAACGACATAAAAATGGCAAAAACTGCAAATCAAAGGCCATAAAATGCTAGCACACAAGGGTTGATTGCCGGCACTGGCACGGGGCCGGCCTCCGGTTCGGCTGCGGCTGGTGGTGAATTTCTCAATGATGGTACATTTGGGGAAAATGCTCTGGATAACGGCAAAGGTAAAGGTAAAGGTAAAGGGTACGACGAGACCTAAACAGCGACACGTGCCAAGTAGCTGCCAAATGGCAGCAGCAGCAACTCACATTTGACAGCTAATCGGGGGCTGTGATTGCGAGAGACGAGACCGAGGCGAAACGAGACGAAGTGAGACAAGATGACATGGGACTCCTGACAAGTGCACACTTGAATTTAACGTATGACAGTCGCTGCTTAATTGCACACAGAGCCAAGGCAAACAAATGTGGGAGCAGAGAGCAAACGGGAGCAAGTTGCTCGCAAGTTGGAGTGAAGCCCACATTAGGCGGAAGTGACACAGTTTATGCGCCAATGAGGCCAATTGACATCAAGTGTTGTGCTTGGCATAATGAATAGCACGTCAAGACAACGCTAGAGAACAACAGCAAAAGCTACTCCGGGCAAATTTCAAGCACTGCCTAAAAGTATGCAATGGCATTTTTACAGTTTGCCTTCAGCCGGGTAGACAATTGAGACACGCTAACATGCCTTCCAACCGCTGAGCTGTTAAAAATGTATATAAAAATATAAATATACTTCACAGTCACTTGACATTTAATAAAATTCACAGCAATCAAGTTGCCCCAACGGCTGTCATGCTACACCCGAGCACAGCTTTAATAGGCGCCGCCTAAAAGCATGCAATGGAAATTTGCCGCCTACAGCCCTCTGCTCACATTTCAATGCAATTTCATTTCTCGTTTCTCTGTGTGCATGCATAAATATTTATGACGTTTGCTTTATGCATTTTCAGTTGCTTTTGCGGTTGCTTACCAGTTGCCCGTCGTTTGATCATATTTGCAGTCCCAACCGGGCGGCATCTTTTGATAGCCATTCGTACCGCCTGCATCGCTCATTTTTGAATTTTATGCTTTTTTCGATTCTATTTTTGTTGAATATTTATGGCTATTTAAACGGATATTCGCAGCTTGTTTGCCAACTGTCTGCAACCCCGAAAACTTTGCTGGATTTGCCCTTGCCACTACGAGCTTTGTAGTTGTTGTAGCCGTTCGTGCTGTCGTTGTTGTTCTTATCGTTGCTGGGGGTTGTTAACCACCACCGAAACGTCGCACACTAGCACGCTCCGTCGCTCGCACACAGACACAACAAGCACAGTTATTTTTGTTTACAAGGCGCAGCCGGGTAAAAAAAAAAACCAAAACACGCACGCACACACACACACACACAGAGACAGACACGGCGTGCCGTTAGTGACAGGATTTTTCGTCCTTGCCGCTTTTCCAACGAACGAACCGCGCTTGGCCAGCTTTCAACGTCTACTGACTTGGCCCGCTCGCCGAGATGCTGCGCGGGAGCGAGCTTTTCACTTTGGCGCCAAGCTCCAGTTGCGCAGCAGTGTTGGTTAACGTTTCGAATGTAACGGCTGTGGCTGAGCTTTGCTTTCACTGCCACCTGAAGTGTGAGCTGACAGCAAATTTTTTAGTATATTACTAGACAGAGCACAATCAAATACTTGAAACTTAATTTTCAACTCTTTGGGCGAAATATATTTATTGAAAGGCCAACAAAATGTCGGTGTATACGCCGGAAGTACGCATTACGCGTATCACAGACACCTATCTGCAGGATACGTTGGACGAAATGGCGGAGGAGCAGAATAAGCCCAAGGGGCCAACCAAAGCGGAAAAGAAGCAGATGAAGAAAGAAGCAGCGCGCAAGAAGAAAATGGAAGAACAAATGTTGATTTTGCGCGTAAGTTGAGCTGAAACCATTTCTGTCTCTGTCTTTGATTCACTTTCTCTATATATATATATCTATCTCTTTCTGTCTTTCCTTAAGTATCCTAGCATATTCAATTTACTTTTCCTTCTTTTCCCTCTCTCTCTCTCACGATCTTTTTCCCTATCGAATCGCTTTCCTCTATAGCATGGCTTGCGTACTGAACTGGAGATTGGCAAGCGCATGGATCTGCGCGGCTTGGAGGAATGGAACGCCATAGCTGAGCAAATAAAACTGATTGATTTGCGGCAAGAGCTGCTTCAGTGGGGAGAAAACGCCGAGCGCATTCTTCAGAACAAGAACGATCGCATCAACATGCTGGTCGCCGATCTGGCGCACACCAACGAGCAGCATGCGCGCAATTTCGGCCGCACCGTGGAGCTGATCGATCACATCAACGAGTGCTATCACGCCATGCTGGAGGGCAACAAGCACATGTACGAGCAGCAGGCGGAGGAACTGCTCAAGGAGTTCTACGACGAGGTGCACCTGCGCACCGAGGAGGTGGACGCGATGCACCAGAACAGCGAGAACATCATCCACGCCTCGAACCTCTACACGCGCGATCAGCTCAAGGAGGACTACCAGATCTACCAGGAGCAGCGCGACGACTACGTGAACAAGAACATCGCGCGTCGATTCGAGATACGCGACCAGGTGGTCAACAAGATGAACCACATGCAGCGACAGCTGAACGAGTTCGTCGATGCACTCCACAGCACCGATCTGGATGTGCACAAATACGAGCGCATTCGGATGCTCACCGAGCGCCAGCAGCAGTTCGTGGAGGACACCAAGAAGCTGAACCAGGACGAGGTGAAGTACATCGGAATGCTGCACGAGATACAGCAGGAGACGCTGCGCGTCGAGACGGAGAATAATGCGACGATCAACGATCTGCGCCTGGAGTTCGAGTACTTCTCGAATGTGCGCAAGAAGATCGAGGATCGCATGCATGCCGATCGCATCACAACGCACGAGAAGCTGCGCATACTCAGCACCGAGTGCTACGATTTGACCAAGGTACAGTCGCCACTCAGCATCACAAAACTCTTAACCTCATTCGACGCCTCTGCTCCATAGAAATTCGAGAAGATCGTGAAGAGCGGCGAGCTGCTGCTCGCCCTGTCCATCACCTGTCGCAAGCTGCAAACGGAGTCCGAGAAAATCATTGTGGGCGGCGAGGTGGTCGATACCATCGATGTGGGCCCGATCGATGACGATTTCACGCTGCAAACGCTGGACCTTAAGAAGCACGTGGACCTGAACGACGAGGATCTGGTCATGCTGAACAAGAGCCTGAAGAACTTCTGGCGCCAGCAGGCCATGGCCCAGGCCCAGAACATGCTGCTGCTGGAGGAGAAGCGCAAGCTGACCGAAGAGAATCAGCGCCACATCGACTTCATCAAGTCCATGAGCAAGACGGACAATGCCGAGGAGCTGCGCGCCGCCATGATCGTTAGCCCGTGCATGAAGAAGGTGCCGCTGCTCTTCGACACCCAATGCCGTTTCCAGAAGCTCCGCATCAAGCGCGAGTCGGCCACAGCCGGACGGGAGGCCCAGCGAGAGGCGATGAACACCATCAAATACATCTTGCATACCAGCCAGTGCAGTCTGCATAATCCAAAGAAGAAGGAGGAAAAGTAAACTAGATCTAGTAGAAATATAATGCAGGAATATATATCTAGGTTATATATAGGCAGTTTAGCGATTGATAGTGAAAGAAGAGAAAGAAGCTCGATTAGGGTAATAGAATCTATTAGTTTTTGTTATGGTTTGCTATGCTTTAACGCATCTTAAAGTAGTTATTTATTGGAGAAATATTCCATAAGAATATCAGGCATATATCCACATAATAAATATAGTATATGCATCATTCAAGTGAATATTTCAGATGAATTTATATGGTGAAATAAGAGTGAAAATCTAGTAGAGTGAAAAGAGTAAGTTTTTTCTCAGGCTAGTTATATATATTATATATATTATTAATTATATATATTAACTTATTCGTTCAGGTATTTATTTTCTTATGTATAAATAGAGTGATAATCTAGGTCAGGCAGTTCAGATAAAAATTATTAGATTATTAGGTATATTCTTTATAATTATAAATTCACTTATTCAAGTGAATTTCTATGGTAAAACAACAGTAAAAATCTAGCAGACTTATATTAGTTATCCAGAAATATCAGTGAAAATCTAGCAGATTCAGTCTAGCTATATGTACATATATCATACATTTTTTTACCCCTATATTCACTTATTCAAGTGAATATTTCTTCAGGAGTAAGACACACAGTTATTCAAACAGTTTACAGTTAATTTATTGACATCATATACATACATATGTGTGTATGTGCGTGTGTATATCATAGGCATTAGTGTAAACTAACAATTCAATTATCCAGCTTAAATAAGCATAAACAATTCAATTCAGTTTAGGCAGTTTTTTATTAGCTCTCAATCAATCGATCAATAATATCGCATAACATCTATCATTCAGGAGGCTAGGCCTGATATACATATAATATGTGTAAGTTTCTATGTATATATAATGTGTATATAAAAAGTAAACTGTACTCGAAGAACTTAGGCACTAATCAAATCCTTTGGTCAAGACAAATGCAAAAGCAAATTTAATTCACATCATATGTAAAGAGTGTGATTCTGATAAGGGTTGTGCTCGATATGGTTTCTCGATTCAGATGAACCGCAGGGGCTGGACCTTGAGGCGTTCGGCTAGGGCGGCGCAGGTCTTGAGCTGGTTCTCCAGATACTGAATGCCGCCGGCCTGGTCAACGGCCTTAATGTTCTTCTCCTCCTTGTCGCCGGCGAGCAGGACGGGCTTCTCAGGATTGGTCTGTGGGCGGAGGGAGAGGAGAGGGGGGGAATTTAGTTACTTTCTTAGTTACTCTAAAGCTCTGCCAGCTGCAATTCTTACCGGCTTGGTGCTGCGCAGAATGGAGTTAAAGTCACTCATGCGCTCCTCGAACTGGGGCGCAAAGCTGTTCGGATCGACGGCAATGAAGACCTGGCCCAGATTGGCGGCCGAGTTGGCGCCCGTGTGGGTCCATTTGCGTACGTGCGTGGCATAGTTGGCGCCGGACATGACACCGGACAGGATGTCCACCATGGCGCCCAGGCCGTAGCCCTTGTAGCCGGAGGTGAGCTCAGTGCCGCCCAGGGGGCAGAGGCAGCCCGTTTCGAAGGCCAGCTTGGCATCGTTGGTGACATTGCCCTCGGGATCCTGGGCCCAGCCATCGGGCAGGGCGGCGTCCTTGCGCATCTGGATCTCAATCTTGCCCACGGCCACGGCTGTGGTGGCCATGTCCAGCAGGAAGTGATCCTTGCCGCAGCCATTGGCGCCCAGCGAGAGCGGATTGGTGCCCAGCGCCGCCTCCTTGGCATTGGTGGGTGCCATCAGCGGCGATGTATTGGTCATGGACATGCCCACCAGGCCGCTCTCCATGGCGCGCAGCGCATACCAGCCGGCCATGCCGTAATGGTTGCTGCCCTTGGCACAGACCCAGCCAACGCCCACATTCTTGGCCTTCTTGATGGCCAGATCCATGCAGAAGTTGCCAACGACAGCGCCCAGCCCGTTGCATCCGTCCACCCAAGCCGTGGCGGGCGTCTCCTTCAGCACCACGGGCACGGCAGCGCCGTCCGTCGAATTGATGGCCAGATCATTGATGTACATCTCCAGCCGGTTCATGCCGTGACTGAAGTGACCTCGATGATCGGCGGCCACCAGCAGATCGGCCTGAGCCTTCGCATGCTCCTCGGGCACATTCACCGCCTTGAAGCAGTCGATCATGAAGCGGCGCGACTCCTCCACCTTCACCAGTTTCTGACACGCACTCGACATCATGCGCGATAAGCCAAAAAGCACTGTAAAATATTAGCAAATCGAAAACGAGAACGAAATTGAATTTGGGTATTTGACTCGGATCCAAAGTCGAGAGGCGAGCGCAAGGAGACGACGTGTTGCTTCCAGATGCGAGACAGGCAAGCGACTAATGGTTAACCCTAAGGCACCAGAGGCAGCCGGTCTGATAATTAAGCTAATGCTCACCAATACAACGATCTCTGGTGGGACAGAGAGCGCGAGAGTGAGAGTGAGTGAGGCAGCGTGAGAGGGAGAGGGAGAGGCAGGGGGGACGACGGTTCTTTATCGTAGCTGCCATTTGTTGTATTTTGGCAAAGCCCGAAATTGCCAGAGAGGCGCGTGTACATACATACATATATGCATAGACTTATCAGTTGTGTATGTGTGTGTGTGTGTGTGCGTCTCGATATTCTGTATTGATATGTGTATCATAAAGATATATATACATATATGTATGTATGTATATTTGGCTAGTTTTTTTATGCAGCACACGAACATTGTTTTCTTTTTATAAATTCTCATTAAGTTGGTGAAATATGTCACGAAATGTGTTACACATGGATGGACTATAGAGCTATATGGCTATGGGTATTGGGTATTGCGATATATAATATATATAGTGCGAGCCAGGCTTACCAAATTTACATAAATATATTTAGCGAGAGACTAGTCAAATATTGTTTAAGCGATTCTAACAAGAAAAACAAACCTGCTTCAATATTTACCTATAACATGTGCATATATTCTATATTCTTTATATATTCTGCTCGGGTTGGCAATCATTTTTCTAGAACCGGACTTTGAGCCAGGCATAAACAAAGAAAATATATGGTTCTCATATATTTATATTTAATTTTTTTAATTCGAAAACCAGACGAAAAACTATAAAAAATATGAATTATATAAAAAAAATTAAAATTAATTAACATTATAAATTCTGAAAATTTGTATATAAAAAATAAACTTTTTTCTACACAAAATTACAAATATAAAATAATTATTTTTTGACTTGTGAATATGAAAAAATAAAAAGAAAAGAAAAGACAGAAAGAGATAAATAAAATAATTGGCATACAAATAATTGGCCTATGAAATTAATTAAATTATAAATATAACAGCTCTTTGATATATTAATAAGGAAAACTTATAATGAATAATTGGTGTTTGAATAAAAATTAAGTAATATACAAATAGATCATAGTAAAAAGAATATGAATAGAAAATATATTTGTTAAGCACAAACTATATACGAAATAATTGAAACATAATTAAAATAAAAATAAAAATTTGCACGTATTTTTATCTATATTTTATTATATTTATCTAATAAAAGTCGTGTACAAAATAACATGCATTAAGAAAAAATTCTAATATGTTATCAGAATAAAGCAAAAGGAAAATTCTAACTTTAAATATAATATAATATTATATTACTACTACTACTATAATAATATATTACAACTACTGCTAAAATATTATATTACTACTATTATACTATTATAATACTACTACTACTATAATATTATAATAATACTACTATAATGTTGTAATACTCCTATTACTATACATACTATAACAACACAAGTCCACAAATAAACAATCTATGGCTATTTCTAGACTCATTCGAGAAGCAGAGAGTGTATTTGCTCTGTCGCCTAGTCGCCTTCTATTTGCCTCTAGCAACTTATTTCGCTGGGGGCTCGCAGCACAGCAACAACTACAACTACTACACACATATACACACATATATACATGCGAGTGTGTATGGCCAAATATTTATTATTAAGCTATGTGCTTGTATTTCCAGTTTTATTTTGAATTTGTCAAGTCGGTTGCTGCCGCTGCTGCCATTGCTCGTGTCTGATGTGGGCTGTGTGAGCATTTGTGTTGCGTTGTTGTTGTTGTTGTAGTTGTTGTTGGCATGTTGTTAATGACCTTGAACTTCACTTGCTATCCATTTGAATAGGGCGCCCACACTGGCAGCCCATGGATGAATTAATTACGAGACAAACAATTGATGGATGGATCGGTTGATAAATGTGTACGATTCATTGATTACGGAACATACGGCATTACAGTACTTACAGTACAGCCCTAACAAAATATGTCACCTAATGTGTTGCTAAGCTCTTGACAACTGTCACGCCCCCGCCCAGCCATTGAATATGCGATAATGAAAGCGAAATTTGATAAGTCGCTTGAACACCATAAAGTCGGGCGGCTTAAGCAATACGAAGTAATGCAAACAAATATACACATACATATATATATATATGCATGTGTATATATCTGTCTGATAACCTTACTAACCGATTCGAAGCAGCGCCAAGCGTGTCGGCCTCCTTATCAGCGATATACTCTGTGCGCATTTTATAGCACTGGCTTTTGCACATCTCTCACTGGTCCAATTGTCGGGCTCCATTGTTGCCTGTTTACCAGCACTAGCAGCACTTCTCACATTCATTCACTTTAAATTTTGCATTGCAACACGTTAAATTTGGACAGAACAACAGAAATACGCCAAACTAAATTTTCTGTGATTATATAGATATATATATGAAATATAAGTATATATATATATTTATATAAAAATTATATTAAATGTTTGCCATTTGTCAGCGCCTATTTCGATTCGTATAGAACATTGTTTCGACTCTTAATTGGGGCTAAACGAGTTGTTTTTTTTTTTTCGGGGCTGCCACAAAAAGTGTTTCAAGTGTTGAATGTGTTTTCAATTAGACAATCAAATTCTCATTAGTCAAGTGAGCGAAGTGGAACAATAATTGGAGCAATGGAAGAGTGGGCAATTGAAATTGAATAAATTAATATTGAATATTATATACTATATATAGAGACATATATAGGAATGAGATATCGTCTATTATTTGACATAATAAGCACTTGATTTTGTTATCCATCATATGGAGTAGAAAATACTGTGAATCTTCGTGTATTACTTTTCTACTTTTCAAAATAGTCTAGATATAGAAATATAGAAATTGCAAATTTTGTATCTGTATTTGAACATTTTTTGTAATTTTTCTACACCTCCATAAACATTATCAAAGAGTTCTTCAGACGCTATCCATTTTACCTAAAACTTATAAAATATCTATACACTTATAAGCGGTATAATATAAAACTCCAAAGGGTAAACATTTATAAGTAACTAAATAGAAAAAAAAAAAAAACGACAACAAAAACAGTTGTTTTTCATACAAATTCTCTGGTTTAATGAGTAATAAACAAAGTTTCATTGATTACACGTGGGTGGCCGTGAATAACAACAGCTCAGGTATCTCAAGCAAAATATCTATAAGGAACAGCTGATTTCATGCACAAACAAAGCTAACGCGACTGTCAGCTGCCCGTCGTGAGCGTCAATTATAAAGTAAAGGGAAGCTAAAGATAGGCATATAAATCATAGCGCATAGATAATAAACAATTGCACGCGTAATTAGAATAATAAATTAGAATAATATATTCCACTTACCGCCCAGATTTGCATTGAATTTAGGCGCTGCAGCTGCGCTGTAACGCCTACAATGCTGTTGTTGTTGTTGCGGCTGCTGCTGTTGTTGGCGCCTTTGAAGTGTTTGAATAGACCGCCGATTGATGCTGACGTAGGCGTTGGCAGCGACCGCACGACGCGAGCAGCACAATGTCAACGATGTCATTGCAGCGAATATGGCAAAAACGAAACGAAAACGTTCTAAAGTGCTAAAAACAAATCAAGAATGGCAACAACAATACCAACGCGACGAATACGTCGCCTCAACAACAACTAAAACCAAAAAGCACAAAACTAGTTGAGCGCTACGTAGAACGCAAAAAGAGAGACACGTAAGGCAATAGTAACAAGTCGATACGATTCAGCGAATACGTAACGAGACCAAAACAGCTGACGTCCACGTCAACGCTAGCGTCTCTGCGGGCGGCTCTGCTACGACTACTGCTGCTGCTGCTTGTGTTGTTGCTCTCAAGTTTCGTGTTGCCTTTCGCCTTGCACTTTTTAGTTATTCTCTTAGCTACGTCTGTTTCAGAACGTTTCTTGAGCGCGTCTTCTTCAGTCGTTTCGATTCCTTTGCTTCGTTGGGAGATTAAACGCGATTAGCGGCGAATTGCCCAAACAAACGGAAAGCTTCGAATGATTTTAGCACGACGATTAACTACACAAATACTACGTAAAGTATAATTATTTACAAACGAATTATTTACACCTGCACGCAAGCAGCTAGTTTACGTAATTACTACTACAACAAATAAACGTTAACAAAAACGTGCAATTTAACAGCAACAACAGCCACAACGACAACAGCAAATCAGTGTCAAAATGCGAATCTTTAGAGAGATTCTATTTGATTTATTTCTGTGCGCCTCGTCGTGTTCCGTCGGAGCGCCAAGTTGAACTGCCATGAACTGAGTTGGAGACGTTCTCGTCGACGTCGTCGTCTATCGCCCGTTTCCACACGATGCCTCAAACTCTGCCGCGATTAGCTCAATTGAATAAAAGTGAAATTTAAATTACAAATACAAAATCAGCTCGCGCCATGCGTAGAAATGCGTAGAAGCAGGCAAAAGAGCGAGAGAGTGCGAGAGATAGACCGAATGTGAGCGCAGCTAAATTTGTGGCCTTGGGCACAGTTGAGGAGACGCGTGTGCATTAGCTAACAATTAACATTAAATATAATATATAAATTAGCTACACCGAGTAAAGCAAACATAAATACATTTAAAGTTTATTGTTGTTAAGTTAATTGCTTTAAGGTGAAGCACATTTCATTTGTTTACATTGCGCGCGTAGTGCTGCAAAAGGCGCGCTTAGCCAAGACACAAACCAGTACTATAAGAGCTACGCGCCAAAAGTAAAGTTTGAAAGTTAAATCTTTTCAACAAATTTGTTGTTGTTGCTACGGCTATTGTTGTTGTTGTTGCTGCTGCTTTAACTTAATATGGTAATTTGTATGCTATGTGTGCTTCTCTGCCCAAGTGTGTGTGTTGATATTTGTTTTCACCAGCTATGCGCAAAAATGATTATAATTTAAGTCACATTTCTATTTTAGTATTCAAACAGCAACAGCAAATTGTGAACGGTATGTGAGTTGATTTTATTTGTGATACTCTGTAAATTTGGAATAGGTTATAATGGCTAAAAATTTTATGTTCTTCATTTATACTGTAGTAAAGAATACCTAGCTTTTAAATATATTCAATTCAATTAACAAAATGAAAATATGGAAAGGTATTTCGATTTTCATATACATATGTACATACATTTCTCTGACATGTGCATTAAGATATTGCATTCATAACGGAAGTTATTCAATAACTAATTTCGCTTAATGGAAGTCCCGTAGGAAAAGCAATTAAAATAGTTGCACTAAGTGCGCAATAGATGGCGCTCTCTGTCTCGCTGCTAATTAGAATCCAATTCGAGTGGCATTTCTACCGAGTTTTGTCAACTACTGGGTATTTCGCAGTCGCACACTCCCCACCACATTCCTCGTTTATTTACTATTTAATTACTCCACTGGCAGCGATTACCGTTGTAGGAGATTCGCCCACGCAGGCAGCGTACAGGTGTCCGCTATCAATATTCGGCTAGCTTGATTCAATGGGCCATAGGGCCAAAGATTTTTTCGACAAACTCAAGTTGATTTTGTTTTTGTTTTCATATTTGGGCAATTGCTTGCGGCACATAAACAATAAATTAACAGCAAATGCTAACAAAACAAACAAACGATAACAAACACGCACAGACTTGCGCGCCTGCGTGCATGTGTGTGTGCGAGTATTTCTATCAGTGAGTGTGCGTGTGTGTGTGTGTGTGTAATCATATGTCATCATCAGCAACATGATGGCATTTTGTAGAACCAACTGCTGAGTCAGAGTTGACATCCAAAAGCCACAAATTGGGGCCGACTCTGGGGGCTCCAAACTGGGCTTTAGCATTGCCTCCAGCTGCTCTATTGCTATCTCTGTCTCGCCACATATTTATGCTTATGCAAGCAGTCGGAAAAAGGGCATATTGGTTCTGTGGAATGTTTGCTTGATAATGGATATCTACTGATCTGAGAGAGAGAGAGCGAGAGAGAGAGAGATGTGAAACTACGTTACGATTTGATTTGTTATTTGAATTATGTATTACGTAACGGGTATTAACAGACATGTTACAGCCTAATGAGGGGGCTTGAAACTTGATAGACTTATTTAGGCAATTTGGCATCTATCAAATTTCAATTATAAGTGATATAAGAAAATATCAAATGCACGGTTATAGCCTAATATTTTAACCATCATAATATTACACCATATTTTAATCACTTACGCATACCTTATTATATCTAAGTCTTTTTTTATTAAATGTCAACAAATGTTGAATTTTTATAGATTATAAAATCTATATATGTATGTATATGTTCTTAAACTGAGAGCGTAAAGTATGGCAAAAGAAATGGCCCTTCAATGAAGTATATTATGCGCCTATTGAGGGCGTGGTTCCAGAACCAGACTGAATCACATTAAAATGCAGTGCACAAATGATTCAGAGAACGATCTCAGCTGCACTTAAGGCAAAACAACTCATGAGCATGAGTCAAATTGAGGGCGTTACGCGCTGAGCAGCCCAAGTCTCGACCGCGCTGAGCGTGTATTATGCAGTCGCTCAAGCTCGGCTGCAACGCTCTCTTGTTTTGGTGCCGCTTTCGTGTTGATTTCGTTGAGCGCATTTCGCTGCAGAACGCCGGTCGAGACAGACGCAAGCTGTGCGTCCAAATTGATAAATAATCAGCACGCTCCAGCAGTAGCTGAGAGAGAGAGAGAGAGAGAGAGAGTGAGTCGGAGGTAGACAGAAGACAGAAGCAAAATAGAAACTGAAACATATTTTAAAACAAGCTACTAACTAACGGCTGCTAACTCTTTGCTCTAAACAAAACCAATCGACGACTCGCCGCTAATTGCTTGTTGTTGTTGTTGTTATTATTGTTGTTTCTTTCGGTTCGTTCAGCTTTCGTTGCCAAAAAAGAAAAAGCAAGAACGGAAAAAAGCGTAAAAAAGTTTTTCATTTGTGAATCGGGCATTCGATTTGGCCTTGCGAAACTTTCCGGGTGAGTACTTAAAATACTTAAAATACAATTTCAGTTGTTGTTCGTCGCTGGCATTGAGCGGAAGCCAGAAAAAAAAATATATATATATGTATATAATTGCACTTAATTGCAGCTAACCGAAATGGCCAATACGAACGTGAAAATCGTCGAGTCGAAACTGGATCTGTTCCAGGCGCCGCAGCACTATGCCCTGGCCCATGCCGTCGACTCCTCTTTCTCGGCGGTCCGCGGCTCCCTCGCCTGGCAGTTCGCCCTCATCTACGGGGACGTGGACGATCTGCGACGGCGTCGCGTCACCAGCGGCAACTGCGTCGTGCTCGAGCATAATGCACGATTCGTCTACTATTTGGTGACCAAGGCCAATGTCTATGCCGGCAGCAGCTACGACGATGTCCAAGCGGCGTTGATATGCATGCGAGAGCATATGGTAAGGCTGGCGAGTGGGAAGGGAAAAGGTCACTGTGTGTGTGGGAGTGAAAGAGAGGTAGTGGGTTGGAGTGGAAGCGGGAGAGAGAGAGAGTGAGATGTATTTAGTTCTATGTTGATTACAGAGAGGGAATAATACCGAATGTTAAAAGATAAGCTGGCAATAAGAAAGAAAGAGAGAGAGAGAGCGAGGAAAGTGAGTATAAACAATGACATGAATATACGTACATAGGTATTATTAGATTAGTTAGTTGATTAGAAAACAACATACAATATGTATGCAGATATGGGAATACATTCATTAAAAGGGCTTAGAGAAACATATGGATTGATGAGTTTAATGAAAGATTTTAAGTGTGAGAATGATTGAGTAATGGAAAGAAATGGGGAAAAAACTAATGAGACAAATATATTGATGAAGTGACAGAAAGATAGAAAGAGAGAAAAGATGATGATACATGATCAAATATATGCATACCTTGACGAATATTAATAGAGCAACAGGGTTGTAGAATGATACATATAAAGATCTTAGATAAGAAAAAACAAGCCAGAGTGAAGTCTAAAGCGAGAAGTGAGAAATTTAGGGAAAGGCAAAGAAACATATCTATAGTATAATCTGCCAGTAAAAAAGAGTATAAAACCAAAGATGATAGTCAAGAATCATAGTAATTTGGGTATTTTGCCTCATAATAAATGATATAAATTCTTGTAGTTTAGTTAGGGTATAAAAACGTCGGCTATGCCCATGCCACACAATTGTGTTTGCACAGCTTCTCGTTAATTTACAGTTAATTCGTTGGCATCATAAATATGTAAACAGAAGTATTTATCTAGCTATATATAGAGAGAGAGAGAGGGCGCAAGACACAGACCGAGTCACGCATATGTTAATTAATCAAAGTCAATCAAATTTTGTCAATCACGCATCGCAGCGGAATCATGAAATCACCAAAGTGGCGATGCCGCGGATTTGCTGCGGCGAGAGCGAAGGCCTCCAGTGGAAGCAAGTGAAGCGCATCATGCAGCAGATATTCGCTCACAGCGAGTATCCCATTGAGATCATGATATGCGAGCATGACGACATAACCAGAGAGGTGAGCGAGAACAAATGGGGAATGCATCTAAATACATATATATATATGTACATATACATATGTCTCTCCCTTTCCAGCTGGCTGCGCCAAAGTGTCAGATAACCGAGGCGAAGGGCAATTTGTTTAGCGCACCGGAAAACTTCGCCTTGGTGCACTCGGTGAGCGCGGACTTTGCCATGTGCGCCGGGATCAACTTGCAGTTCCGCTGCAAATTCGGCCAGGTGGACGAGCTGAAGCGACAGCAGCGGCACACGGGCAACGTGGCCGTGCTGGAGCAGGGCGGACGGTACATCTACAATCTGGTGACCAAGGAGCGGGCGCACGAGAAGTGCACCTACACGGCGCTCTACTATGCGCTGCTGGCCATGCGGGAACACATGGTAATCTAGTTTAGACCGTGCTTTAAATGATTGACTATTAGCCAAACTGTAATTCCCATTCTCAGCGTGAGCATCTGGTCACTAAGCTGGCCATTCCGCGGCTGGGCTGTGGCATCGATCGCCTGGATTGGCTGCGCGTGCGCAGCCTGCTGGAGCTGGTGTTCATACGTGATGGCGTAGACATCATTGCCTTCTTCTATCAGCCGCCCAGCATGGAGCGCGATACCATCAAGGTGATCTGTCCCACCTGCAGCCACATGAAGCTCATGCAGCTGCCGCGCAGCGTCAGCTCCTCGAGAAATTCGCTGCACAGAGAGAAGACGCCCTTCTGAGTGGCATTTGGATAAATGGGATTTCTTTGTATATATACACTATATATAATTCTTAATTTATAACATTCGAAATGGGTTTGCATGGGTTGCAAGGCACCAAATGCACCGTTACTTATAACTAGTTTTTAGCACAAGAAAATTACAATTATTTTACGAATATTTATATGCAATACATACACATACATATATAATATATTGACAGCGAATAAAAAGACAACGCCTGAAGCTGGCTTTAAACGAAGCAAATGTGTTTTACAGCATGATTAACAGAGCTAACAAATATTCTATATAGTAGGCCATGATTCAACTGTCTCTACGTGTATATAAAGGGCTGTGTAATTGCTTGATTGTTCAGTTCTTGCTTGAAGCGCTTAGCATCACTCTACAAAAGAAAACAAAAAAAACAATTAAATACAAAAATGTCCTCTCTTAAAGTTGCAGAGATTCGTAGCGCCTTTCATCGCTCGTTTGTGCGGAGTATGACTGGCTTCAAGTTCAACGAGGTGGAAGGAGATCTCTTCACGGCTCCGAAGACTCACTCGCTGGCCCATTGCGTGGGCGCTGACCTGGCCATGGGCGCAGGCATAGCGGTCAAATTCAAAGAGATCTACGGCAAAGTGGATGAGCTACAGGCACAGAAGGCGCGTGCCGGGGAGCTGGCTTTGCTGAAGGATGACGAGCGCTACATCTACTATTTGGTGACCAAGTCGCAGAGCTGGGCGCTGCCCACATACGAGACGTTGCAGTCATCGCTGGAGAAGATGCGTGATCACATGGTAAGCAAGTCCTGATTAATATTTATATGGGATATGTAAAACTTTATCTACTTGCCCGCAGGCCAAGAATGACGTTCATAAGCTGGCCATACCGCGCATCGGCTGTGGCATTGATGGTCTGCAGTGGGACAAAGTGAAAGCTATTATCAACGATGTCTTCCAGCGCGAGGATGTGGAAATTACGGCTTACAACTTCGTGCCGCCACAGGAAACTCAATAATTGAATGAATTCTTAAATTTATTGTTCACAAACAGTAGTTCCTCTATTTATTTGATGGTGGTGCATAATTATAGACTTTCAATTCAATAGAATCCGATTGAAATATCTCTACCAGCATTTCTCGTACTTTACTCCAGCTAAGACCGTCCAGACCGCAGCCAATCCTTGGCAGAGCCAACTTGGTAACATTATGCTCGGCCTGTTGAGAACGAAAACTGTTATATTTGATAAAAGCTATCAGAGCTCTTACCATATGCTGTTGCATGGCACTTAGGGAGCTGTGGAGCAGCTCATAGGTGGGTTTGCCCCAGCTGCTCAGCTTGGTTATTAAATAGTAAATGTAGCGTCCATTATCTTTCAGGATGGCCACGCCGCCCGGTTTCACATTTTGCTTTTGCAATTCAGCAACTTTGCCAAATTTATTACTGTCAAACAGAATGATTAAAATTAACAGTAGTAGAAATTTGCCAAATAGACTTACCGAAATTTGACGGCAATGCCCTTGCCCATGCGCAGATCGGCGGCGACGCAATGACACATGGAATACTCGGGGCCTGCCGAGAATAAGTCACCATTGACTTCTCTCAGTTTGAAATCTGACATATTCACACTCAGCTTTAGGTTTCAATCAGAATAAATTCACTCAAGTCGATTTCCAAATATTGCCGCGCGAAAGCACGCGACGACGTTGACATGCGAATGGCAAGAACGGTAGAATAGACAAAACAGCTGATGAATTGGTTTTGCAGAATGGGTAAGTGTTGAAAAGTAATAAAATGCGGGTTAGCAGCTGGTAACGGTTCCAATTGAATTGAATCAATGATTGGCAGATTGCAACTGAAAGCAGAAACAAATGAATATATAATTATAATAATTTGTGTAAAAATAGGTTATTCAGATTCTTTTCAAATTTATATTGCAATAACAAAATACAGAAAATACCTTGCGATACCGGTAGTATTTAATGACAGCTGTGATATAATACCAAAAAATACCAGTGTTTGATAACAAAAGTAAAATTGCAATTTAGATAATGTAACTTAAAGGTTGTTAAATGAGTTTCATTTTTAATTTTATTGCCGCTTTTGTACGCAAAATGCTGGAGCTGCTGCAAATTGGGGGCAAATTAACGCACACGCTGAGCATTTACGTGAAAACGAATACGGGGCGCACGCTGTCCGTGAACTTGGAGCCGCAGTGGGACATCAAAAACGTTAAGGAACTGGTGGCGCCGCAGCTGGGCCTGCAGCCCGACGAAGTCAAAATTATATTTGCTGGAAAAGAGCTTAGCGATGCCACAACCATTGAGGTAGGCGTGACGTGCAATAGAATAGCAGAACAATATAATATGAATAAGAATTGTAGCAATGCGATCTTGGTCAGCAAAGCGTGCTGCACGCCATTCGTTTGCGACCGCCTGTGCGTGAGCGCAAGGCCAGCGCCCTAATGGAGGAGGAGTCAAGTCCGGAGGAGCCATCGAAGCCGTTAAATGAAACGTTGCTTGACTTGCAGCTGGAGAGCGAGGAGCGTTTAAACATCACCGACGAGGGTGAGCAACAGGTGAAATTAGCTCACTGAGCACTGTTTACCTCTCACGCACCTTCGCAGAGCGGGCGCGTGCCAAGGCGCATTTCTTTGTCCACTGCGGCCAATGCAATAAACTGTGCAAGGGCAAACTGCGTGTCAGATGCTCTCTGTGCAGAGGCGGCGCCTTCACAGTGCATCGGGATCCCGAGTGCTGGGATGACGTACTGAAGCCGCGTCGTATACGCGGCCACTGCGAGAGTCTTGAAATTGCGTGTGTGGACAACGAGGCGGGTGATCCGCCCTTTGCCGAGTTCTACTTCAAGTGCGCCGAGCATGTCTCGGGCGGTGAAAAGGATTTCTCTGTGCCCTTAAATCTAATTAAGAACAACATTAAAAATGTGCCGTGTCTAGCCTGTACGGAGGTCAGGTGAGTGCTACATCAGCTCTTAGATGTCTCTCTTACCGTGCTCTTTGCAGTGAAACCGTTCTGGTCTTTCCTTGCGCCTCACAGCACGTCACCTGTATCGATTGCTTTCGCGACTATTGTCGCTCACGTCTTAGCGAACGCCAGTTCATGCCGCATCCTGACTTCGGCTACACACTGCCCTGTCCGGCTGGCTGTGAGCATTCCTTTATTGAGGAGATTCATCACTTTAAGCTGCTGTCCCGGGAGGAGTATGAACGCTACCAGCGTTTTGCCACCGAAGAGTTTGTACTACAGGCCGGTGGCGTTCTCTGCCCGCAGCCAGGCTGTGGCATGGGCTTGCTCGTCGAGCCGGACTGCCGCAAGGTGACCTGTCAGAATGGCTGTGGCTATGTCTTCTGTCGCAATTGCCTGCAAGGCTATCACATTGGCGAATGTCTGCCAGAGGGAACCAGCGGGGCTGCTTCCAATTCTTGTGAATACACTGTCGACCCGAATGTGAGTAACTACTGCCTTACAAGTGCTTGTATAATCCTTGTATTGTATATCTCACAGCGTGCTGCTGAGGCTCGTTGGGAGGAGGCCAGCAATGTAACAATCAAAGTGAGCACCAAACCCTGCCCGAAATGTCGCACGCCCACAGAGCGGGATGGTGAGTTGCAGATTATGGCTTATACAACAGTATTCGAAAAGCCTTCCTTCCACTCCTTCCAGGTGGCTGCATGCACATGGTCTGCACACGCGCCGGCTGCGGCTTCGAATGGTGTTGGGTCTGTCAAACAGAATGGACGCGGGACTGCATGGGCGCCCACTGGTTTGGCTAAGAGTACGTTTTGTCTTGAGGACAAACTTTGTTAATTGTTTTTATTCATGTTCTACATCTGCTGGCTGTATTTGAAGACTGTTAAGAGTTATTTAAAAGAAAAGTGCATGGTGTAGGTTAATCTGAAGTCCTCCACCAAGTGGCAAATAAAATTGTATATGTTAACAATCATATTATCATATAAATATATGTCTAAATCAAACTATGTAGAATGTAATATATAGTATATTATAAGTAAAGCCATCTATCATCTTTTTCATTCATTCATTCATTTTACTTCCTTTGCCAGTTATCGCCTTTACCTTCACACCCTGTATGCCGTCTAGCGAATCAATAACAAAAACACCCTTGACTACATGCGTCTAACTGGGTATTTCACCATCCATCCGCTGCACCCTACCCCACTGTATTATGGCGTTGCGTGCGCACGCTTTGTTTACGTTTTTTTCTATTTTTTTTTTTCCTTTGCTGCTTAACCTCTGTAACGCTGTCGCCCACAATATTTTTGGTGGCTTTGCTGTTGACTGTAAAAACCGCAAAGCACAGCACGTGCATCTGGAGAGAGCCAGACTGCGAGAGAGTCCCTCGTACAGTTGGGCAGCAGTAACAGCTCTCTCCCAGATTTAATCAATAATAATGGCGCGTATTGACCGTGTATATCTTTGTATGTGTGACTATGTGAATGACTATGTAAGTTTGCATTTTTCCGGTATTTATATAAATACATAAGCTGTTATCGACTTTATGTTGTTATGCCGTCAGTACTGTGTGCCCCCTAATATGCGCTATAGTTTTTATCGTCTCTGCTAACATCAATAAAGCAGCCGCATACATACCCATTGATAACATGACTAGCACTGAACCAGGGAAACCCCTCGGGCGCTAGCTATTTGGCTGCGCACTCGCTCTCTTTCTACTCGGTCACCTTCTCGTGCGCATATTGCTTGCATGTGTGTGTGTGTGGTGTTTCCTAGTTTTTGTTTTGGCTCGCTCTGTTTTTGTTCGGTTTCTGTTTTGTGCTCTAATTTCGTAAGCAAAGTAAGTGAATTTACAAATGACATTTGCGCGAGAGAGCGTTTTCGCCCCATTGCAATTGCCAAATGCGCGCTCTCTCGCACTCGCTCTTGCCCATCGCCCGTTGCCTCCTTCACTCTCTCCCTAATTCGGCCTCAGCGAAAGCTCACTCGCTCGCTCGCCCCGCTAGCAGCGCGTGTATGTGGGCAGGTTGCCCATCGAATCGGGTCACACAGTTTGCGCTGGGTTCCCAGTGCAGCACAGCGGTTGGGCCGATTCTTTGTAGCTGTTGTTGTTGCCTTTTCCTTGCTTCTTTTCGCTATTCCTATTGCTTGTTCCCCCTTTCGATGTTGGTGTCGTTTCGCTGCTTTTTCGCCGCCGTCTTTTGCCAGCTTTGCTTCTTTATATTTCGGGGGTACGATGGCAACACTGCTGAGGCTGACTGCCAGTGTATAAATGGTAGCGCGCCAGCCGTATCGCATTTCAGTCTACGTTGGACTTTGGCGCGCGTCGTACACGCAGCGCATACGTAACGCATTTACATTCAAGGGTTAAGCAGTCGGCACCGCCACCGCCACTTGGCAATGCCCATGTGAATTCGACTGTGTATGTGTGCTTGTGCTTGTGTACATGTGAAGCTGAATACGAACGCGAATGTGTCTACGAGTGTTTACCGTTTGATCGTTTGCCTCTCTTCGATTTTTGTGCTGCGAGAGTGCGAAGAGTACCAATGCATGAGAGAGCTCTTGAGTATTCACAATATATAAGTATTTTGAATTCGTATGCAACACTTCAAATATAACGGTATTTT